TTGATGAGCTTCGGCACTGCAAAGGTTTTCATATCAGTGGAGACCATATGTGATTTTCGATCCCCAAGCCAACCTAGTGTAACAGTCTGACACTGACCTGTAACAGCATAACCTTGTCCTGTAACAGCCAAACCTTGTCCTGTAACAGCCTGATCTTGTCCTGTAACAGCCTGACCTTGTCCTGTAACAGCCCAACCTATCCCTGTAACAACCTGACCTTGTCCTGTAACAGCCTGGCCTTGTCCTGTAACAACCCAACCTTGTCCTGTAACAGCCTGATCTTGTCCTGTAACAGCCTGACCTTGTCCTGTTACAGCCAAACCTTGTCCTGTAAGAGCCTCATCTTGTCCTGTAACAGCCTGACCTAGTCCCGTAACAGCCCAACCTATCCCTGTAAAAACCTGACCTTGTCCTGTAACAGCCCAACCTATTCCTGTAACAGCCTGGCCTTGTCCTGTAACAGCCTGACCATGTCCTGTAACAGCCTGACCTTGTCCTGAAACAGCCTGACCATGTCCTGTAACGGCCCAACCTATCCCTGTAACAACCTGACCTTGTCCTGTAACAGCCTGGCCTTGTCCTGTAACAGCCTGACCTTGTCCTGTAACAACCTGACCATGTCCTGTAACAGCCTCACCTTGTCCTGTAACAACCCAACCTATCCCTGTAACAACCTGGCCTTGTCCTGTAACAGCCTGGCCATGTCCTGTAACAGCCAAACCTTGTCCTGTAAGAGCCTGGCCTTATCCTGTAACTGCCTGACAATGTCCTGTAACAGCCCAACCTATCCCTGTAACAACCCAACTTCTGGCTTTGTCCTGAATATAGTAACGGTTCATATGGGTATCATAATGCTTCAAACTCTCGAAAAGCCGGAATCAACATCCCATATGGGTACAATGCTATGCGTAAATACGATTATTGGTGTCCCAGGCATTATATTGCCTGACTATTGCTTCACAGGGGGTATTACCATACGATGATACAAGAGGTGTAAATCCATACTCCCATAGTGAATCGCTTTTCGAGAAAAGGAGTTGACAGAGCACGTCGGTGTGAAAAGGACAGAATACTCTCATTTTCATTTCAACCGACACTTTCGCTGGAAAGTAAACTGCCACGTGTCTAGGCTTAGAGGACAGACGAGGTGGCCTCCATTTCAACTGAAAACTCAAGGTGTCCACACTTAGCTGCAAAAGAATGTCAAGATAATAAAGAAAAGATAATGAGAATATTTGTTATTTGACGCACTGACATAGTGGTTTCAACAGCTACACGCGACATGTGCGTGGTCAGAATTAAAAAAACTAGGTATACTGAAGGGCAAAAGTAACCGTAGTCATAGTGATTATATGACTTTACAGTGTTATCAATCTTCTGACGTTGTACTCACAATAACAGACACGTCAAGAGCCAGGGTAGCATTGTTCAAATTCCAATCAGGGTAAATGAGTCATTTCAACGTTTTTACTCTTTTCTTATGGGAAAAAGAAATAAGGAGATAGTTCACCCTACTAATAATTAGTGAAAAGAGCGCCGAAACTTGTAAGGGTGTAGACGTTATGGTTGGTGCCATGTCTAGTGTTATTCTAGACGTTATGGTTGGTGTCATGTCTAGTGTGATTCTAGACATTATGGTTGGTGTCATGTCCAGTGTGGGTGAAGACGTTATGGTTGGTGCCATGTCCAGTGTGGATGAAGACGTTATGGTTGGTGCCGTGTCCAGTGTGGATGAAGACGTTTTGGTTGGTACCATGTCCAGTGTGGGTTAAAAGGTGATGGTTGGTGCCATGTCTAGTGTGATTCTAGACGTTATGGTTGGTGCCATGTCAAGTGTTGGTGAAGACGTTATGGTTGGGGCCATGTCCAGTGTGATTCTAGACGTTATGGTTGGGGCCATGTCCAGTGTGATTCTAGACGTTATGGTTGGTGTCATGTCTAGTGTGATTCTAGACGTTATGGTTGGGGCCATGTCCAGTGTGGGTGAAGAGGTGATGGTTGGTGCCATGTCTAGTGTGATTCTAGACGTTATGGTTGGTGCCATGTCTAGTGTGATTCTAGACGTTATGGTTGGTGCCATGTCCAGTGTGGGTGAAGACGTTATGGTTGGTGCCATGTCCAGTGTGGGTGAAGACGTTATGGTTGGTGTCATGTCTAGTGTGATTCTAGACGTTATGGATGGTGACATGTCCAATGTGGGTGAAGACGTTATGGTTGGTGCCATGTCTAGTGTGATTCTAGACGTTATGGTTGGTGCCATGTCCAGTGTGGGTGAAGACGTTATGGTTGGTGCCATGTCCAGTGTGGGTGAAGACGTTATGGTTGGTGCCATGTCCAGTGTGGGTGAAGACGTTATGGTTGGTGTCATGTCTAGTGTGATTCTAGACGTTATGGATGGTGACATGTCTTGTGTGGGTTAAGACGTTATGGTTGGTGCCATGTCTAGTGTGATTCTAGACGTTATGGTTGGTGCCATGTCCAGTGTGGGTGAAGACGTTATGGTTGGTGCCATGTCCAGTGTGGGTGAAGACGTTATGGTTGGTGTCATGTCTAGTGTGATTCTAGACGTTATGGATGATGACATGTCTAGTGTGGGTGAAGACGTTATGGTTGGTGCCATGTCTAGTGTGATTCTAGACGTTATGATTGGTGCCATGTCCAGTGTGGGTGAAGACGTTATGGTTGGTGTCATGTCTAGTGTGGATGAAGACGTTATGGTTGGTGCCATGTCCAGTGTGGGTGAAGACGTTATGGTTGGTGCCATGTCCAGTGTGGGTGAAGACGTTATGGTTGGTGCCATGTCCAGTGTTGGTGAAGACGTTATGGTTGGTGCCATGTCCAGTGTTGGTGAAGACGTTATGGTTGGTGCCATGTCTAGTGTGATTCTAGACGTTATGGTTGGTGCCATGTCCAGTGTGGGTGAAGACGTTATGGTTGGTGTCATGTCTAGTGTGATTCTAGACGTTATGGTTGGTGCCATGTCCAGTGTGGGTGAAGACGTTATGGTTGGTGCCATGTCTAGTGTGATTCTAGACGTTGTGGATGATGACATGTCTAGTGTGGGTGAAGACGTTATGGTTGGTGCCATGTCTAGTGTGATTCTAGACGTTATGGTTGGTGCCATGTCCAGTGTGGGTGAAGACGTTATGGTTGGTGCCATGTCTAGTGTGATTCTAGACGTTATGGATGATGACATGTCTAGTGTGGGTGAAGACGTTATGGTTGGTGCCATGTCTAGTGTGATTCTAGACGTTATGGTTGGTGCCATGTCCAGTGTGGGTGAAGACGTTATGGTTGGTGCCATGTCCAGTGTGGGTGAAGACGTTATGGTTGGTGCCATGTCTAGTGTGATTCTAGACGTTATGGATGGTGTCATGTCCAATGAATGAGTGAGTGAGTCTGGTTTAATGTCGCTTTTAACAGTATTCAAGTTATATCGCGGCGTGTCAGCTTAATGTGGGAGGAAAGCCCGAAGTGATGCAGTTCTCAGACGTTTATCACTTCGGTTAAACCCACGAGCATGGGTATGGTGCTGACAAACCTAGAAACATAATCGGGGCGAACCGGGATTCGAACCCAGAATCATAGGTTTCTGGCGTGTCCACGGGACGCAACTCTGCACAGCGAATCGCGGCGCCTTAGACGACTGGGCCACCCGTGCCCCCACATGTCCAGTGTGGGTGAAGATGTTATGGCTGGTGCCATGTCTTGTCTGGGTGAGGGGCGGTCGGGTAGCCTAGTGGTTAAAGCGTTCGCTCGTCACGCCGAAGACCCGGGTTCGATTCCCGACATGGATACAATGTGTGAAGCCCATTTCTGGTGTCCCCCGCCGTGATATTGCTGGAATATTGCTAAAAGCGGCGTAAAACCAAACTCACTCACTCATTTGTCTGGGTGAAGACGTTTTGGTTGGTGCCATGTCCAGTGTGGGTGAAGACGTTATGGTTGGTGCCATGTCTAGTGTGATTCTAGACGTTATGGTTGGTGTCATGTCCAGTGTGGGTGAAGACGTTATGGTTGGTGCCATGTCCAGTGTGGATGAAGACGTTATGGATGGTGACATGTCTAGTGTGGGTGAAGACGTTATGGTTGGTGCCATGTCTTGTCTGGGTGAGGGGCGGTCGGGTAGCCTAGTGGTTAAAGCGTTCGCTCGTCACGCCGAAGACCCGGGTTCGATTCCCGACATGGATACAATGTGTGAAGCCCATTTCTGGTGTCCCCCGCCGTGATATTGCTGGAATATTGCTAAAAGCGGCGTAAAACCAAACTCACTCACTCATTTGTCTGGGTGAAGACGTTTTGGTTGGTGCCATGTCCAGTGTGGGTGAAGACGTTATGGCTGGTGCCATGTCTAGTGTGATTCTAGACGTTATGGTTGGTGTCATGTCCAGTGTGGATGAAGACGTTATGGTTGGTGCCGTGTACAGTGTGATTCTAGACGTTATGGTTGGTGTCATGTCCAGTGTGAGTGAAGACGTTATGGTTGGTGCCATGTATAGTGTTGGTGAGGACGTTATGGTTGGTACCATGTCTAGTCTGTGTGACGTATAGATGAAGTGAAATAGGGTTTAAGGTCGCGTCCACGATAATTGCACTTATATAGCGAAGTGTGTGTGTGTATGTGCATCTGCGCGTGTGCGCACGTGCGTTTGTGTGCTTGTACTAGTCCGGACTACTGCCGATTTTATGCACCTAGCAGGAGTTTATCATGAATAACCCAATCAGACACAGTTTACGGATTTCGAGCCGACCAGTTCTCCCGAATGCCGAGCATCAGGCAGGGTAACAACAAGTCCCATATTTTGGAATGACGCGGCCGGTGAACTCCCGAAATTCCGCTTTTCGGACAGACGCTTTATCCACTAGACCACTGAGGCGGTCTGTATGTTTATATGTTACATGTTATATGTTACTGAATGTGCGCACACCGATGTTTACTCCATAAACGCAAAAACATATTGAAGTCAATTCTTATAAATAAATACTTCTACAATAGTAACTTCACATACTGCATATTTAATCATAAAAATACAAAAACAAAAACTGTACACGAAAATGCGAATCAGTGACATTCAGCAAGCCCTGTCCATGCTGTTATCAACAAATCAGGAAACAGAATACCGTTAGTGGGCGTGACCTTAGTAATCGTTGCTTTATCGATAAAAAAAACCCCAAAATATTTCTAGGTTACTTTTTCAAACGAAAAAGAAACATTTTATAGAAAAGGCCAAAACACAACTTATAATCAGCGTATGTCAGTAGTGCTTAGTCAGCGAAAACATCAAGCACTATAAGGCGCTATAAAGCATATATTAAGCGGAACTGTACATCTGGATCACAATATGAATGGACGGAAAATATAACAGTGTACTGCTGATTCGGACGTCCCTGCTCCGGCACCCAGGTACCCGAGGCAGGTTACAGCACGTTGTAGCCCTCAAATCCGGAAGATTGAAGAGACACTTGAAAACAAACCAGGAAATAATTATAAAATTGCTTGAGTCAAGTATCTAAACTGTCTCAGTTATACACATATCCCGCAATCACACATGGGCTATATATGCACGCGGATAATATATTTCCATACGAAATAGCCATTCTGAGGAAACAGATTTGTGTTCAGTTAAAACGTGATATACTCATATTGAAACACGTCAACCAATGACAATCGTCTAATACTCTGTCACTTTTCATGACTGTAGTTTTTTAACGCCCTTCCAATTGCTTCATCTGCTTCCTTGCTACCACTATACACTCGTAGATCTGAGCACATGCCAGTCACGTCAGAAAGACCTTTCATCCAATCAGAGCGAGATCACGATAGTGAAAGTCCGAATGTGTTTTCTAATCATGCAACCTTAACAAAGTAGACACAAATTATGGATAACAACTTCTTTATTTTAATATAATGGCGACGTTTCGGTATAGATCCTTATAATGCCTTTCTTGTCAATGACAACCGTATAACGGTATAAGGATCTATACCGAAACGTCGCCTTTCATTGTCAAATGCAGTTATTTCGAAAATATGTACGAAAGTTCTGGATGTATAAAAGCCATCAAGAGGGTGTGCTTAACATTTTCCAGGAGTATATATACATAGACACACATTGCCTTACAGATAGCGCTGTTGACAGGCTCCGTCCCGCTCTCTTCATTGCCCTTCAAAGCAGCAGAGCATGGGCAATCTGTAGATCAGGAGCATTGCCTTATAGACAGAAGGGCTTGTACAGCTACACGTCCTCAGCCCACACAAGGTATAGACATTGTAAAAAGTGCGAGAAAACTAGACAATGTCTCTGTTAGTTAGGAAATCTCAAACTGCTAGTTTAATAATGCACCATAAAATGAATAAGCAGAAAACAAATGTGTTTTTGAACGACGTGAAACAAACTTTCTACAACTGCCAAATGGCCCAGCTTCGTCCCTCTTTAAAGAGCAGTTACTCGCTGTTGCCATAGCTGGCGCAATGTACACATCTTCCGTCTTATTTTGGTTTGTTTTGAGGGTTGTATCTACATGTTAAAAATAAACTGAGAATATTTTCGACACGCCCCCAAACGACCAGAATAACAATTGGCCACCTCTAACAGCCCATGATGTCTAGGTTTGCGCATATCTTGAGCTAACACTGTTCTATGTAACGGCACAAAAGATACACAAATTTCATGTCTGAAGAAATTTGGCGGATCTTTCAGTTTTACTAGGCCCAAATGCTACCAGGGCCATGACTCTGAAACAACGTTAACATTGCCCAAACAACCGGTGTAATCAGTAAGCGAAAAGTGTAGTTTTACAATCTTTAACCTCATTCGACTTCAACGATGCGTGTTTGGCCTTGGTTTGTCGTTGGGCTGTTCATACTGCGACCTTTACTCCGCCTGGCCCCCTGTCGTCTGCTGCCGCCATTGGCGTAGTCTTCCTCGACCAATGCGATCCGCGCATTGGCTGCACGTGTGGACATACCCCTGACCATTGCCGCTTTCCTCACGGCCCTGTGAGCAGCCTTGTCGGTCTCAGATTCATTTTCAAAGCAGCAGAGCACGAGCAATCTGTAGATCAGGAGCATGACGACGAAGAGGTTCTTGCAGGTGTAGAAGATGATGCTGTAGGTGATGAGATTGTAACGGATGAGGCCGTACAGTCGACACGTAAGGAAGGGGCCGTCTTGCATCAAAAACGAGAGAAGGAGACTCCAAATCTCGGTTTTCAAGCACCCACAGCATGAGCCGCACGTTTTCTTTTTTTCTTCTTCAAACTCATCTTCAGGGTGCACCAAAGCCGGGCGAGATTTTTTTGGACTTTTTGTGGCTGTTAGGACGATTGAGAACTGAAGCAGGCTGATGGACCAGAGAACGAGGATGACGTACGTGTAGATGCGGTCCTTGCGCACGTCGGGCTCCTCAAACAGGACAAATAGATCCATGATGTCCGATGCCATGCCGATGTAGACGAAAAGCAGCTGCGAAAGTTTGTCACGAGTTAGCTCCCCTCGCGGAAGTATCCATCGGCCTATGATGATGAGGAACAGAAAGGATTGTTCTATGACTGACATCCAGAGGCTTGGACTCAGTGTAATGGGTAATGATACCTGCAACAATGTAGTAATCGTGTCATAAAGTGGTTGCGTTGGTCCGAATGTAAAACATCAAACAAACATTTGAACAATTCTGCAATATTCTAGCAATCTCACAGCGGTCTGTAAACAATCGAATCTGGGCCAGAGACAACCTTTGATTGATACTTTGAGCAACTTTCCTTACAATGACACACAATGAACAAAGTCCCCGAGCCTGACTGTAAGATATCAGTTGAGAAGGTTGAAAAGACCCGTTTAGACTCCTTATTGACAGCAGTCTAATATCTAAGGTCCTGAACTATACTCAATAAACTGTTGATGGTCCCTAAAGGTTCTCTAAGTTTGGATGTTGATAGGGGGTGGTCAGGCTCGGTTATTGCGTGTCATCTTACCCTGACGGCGTGTATCGTTGCTGATGATATAAATTACTGGTTAAATTACCTGGTGCAAATAACATCATTTAGCTGGATTGTGGAATATTGCTGAGAGCGGTGTTACATAAGAAAATTTAAATGTTGTCATAACTGTCCGGAAAACGGGGATCCGGGGGTTCAATGTATCATATTTCTGGTGTAGATGTAATGATGTACGAACCCCTTGTATTGCAGACAGTGACTCAACGCTGGAGCTGTTGCTGCTCTCGTAGATCTCCGTGTACCGTGCCAGTCGGTCCAGCTCCAGGATCCAGATAGCGGGGACTGTGCTCAGTAGGTAAAAGAAGAAACACGGACAGAACCTGCAACGATGAAGGGAATAATAGACATATACTGTAACGTCATTTGTCTACGTAGTTGAGCAATGTTAACGACCATGATAACCCACAACACAGTGGGTTGATACAGACATTCTCACCACAGAGTGTTAGGTCCAAATGTCGGGGGTTCTTGCCCAGTGTAACATTGCACCTTTATGTGACATGACAAATATATTTAAGCTAATACATTTATATGCAATATGTAGCTTTTGTTTTGTTCTATTATAATGGAAATGGCATAGAAAATAGTGGACGCCTCGCATTGTCACCCGGGCCCTACGTCGTACTAACCAAATGGCACAATGAATGTTTATATGTTGTTGTTTTTTGTTTTTGTTTTTTAATTGATAGTTTTATGCCTGTGTCCCTGTTACATATAGCCAGGGGAATTACAGAGCTAAACATGAGAAGAAGAAAAAACAACCAAAAAAACCCCAAAACACGTAGAACTTCTAATCAAGATACAGGGTTTTAAAATCTTTTCTTAACAAGACAACACAAAGACAACATTCACTCTCCATTCACACATATTAGATAATGTCTAATTCATAATTGTATACATTATAATGTAAAAATAACTTCTCTAACAAAGAGGAAATTAGTATGTGTTCTTATTCGAATAAACCATGATACATGGCCCTTTTGGTACAAAACTCATTAAAATAATGTTTACTAAAATGAATAGTCTTTTCAGTATAGTATCCCATTTTTAAATCGTTCTTAAAATGTACAAAACATGGTAGAGCATTTTATGTCTTACATTTATACACCCCATCAGTCATTACATCTTTTTTACAAACAAAAATGATCAATTCTACTAAGATTAAGGTCATGAGTGTGATTACATCCCCCTGACAACCATGTCATAAACTGTGACCAGAAAGTTTGTACAAAGTCACATTCCCAAAACATTTGTGAGATGGACTCTCTTGCTTCAATACAAAATAAACATACATCAGAGTTCTTTACTTTGATTTTGCAGAGAAAAATGTTAGTTGTTAAAATCCCGTGGATTATCCTGTATTGAAACCCCCTCAGTTTTGTTAAAAGGGATTGGCCAATCAAGATCAGATAAGAACTCAGCTTGCCACCAAGACTTGGCTCTACAATAACCTTTAGATGAGCATAGAATATAACAATATGCTTTTGAACCTTTCTTTACAGAACAAAGCAATTGGAGTACTGGAGAGTTATCAGCACATTGTACATTTTTATCTTTTGAAATTTCGACATTTTTTTCAATTATATTCTTATAGAATTTATTATACTATAATACTGTAAAAACGAGGTATGCAGGTGATACATAATCATGATACATAATCATCCAGAGATACATAATCTCCATTTTCATTGACAACATCACATATCTGGGTAATACCTTTAGGAAACCATGATTAATAACAAACTGTTCACTTTGATGTCAATAGTATCAAAAATATGCTCAGACAAGAAATCTTGGACATTTTCTTTTTTCACTTTTATTGAAAAGTCATTGAAGGCATTGAAGCAATCCCCCCAGGGTTATTCAGGTCCTTAAGTATTCTCTTGAGAAATCCACATCCATGTTGATTAAACTTCACACATTTAGAGCAACTGACAATAAGACTACATTTCCACTCAGGATCTTTAAGAGTAAGCTTTCTCATCCATGTTACTTTCAAAGCTTTCACATATTCAAATGTATTAATCATACCCAGCCCACCTTCCAGAATGGGTCAGCATAGTATTTTTTTTTTATCCTGTCTGATTTTTGATTCCACATAAAAAATGGAACACATCGTGTTTAATTCTTTTAGAAAGGCTTCAGGGGGATTATGAAGAGTTAAAACAGATATTTAAGTTTGGAGATCAATAATGACTTGATCGGGGCATTATTCCATTTGGGGTTTGAATTCGGTTAATCCATTTATTCTTTATTTGTTGCAGTTCATAAAGTTTTTATTTAATGTTAAGTTGCACTATTTCTAAAACATTTGTGCTAAACAAAATGCCAAGCACTTTAAAAGTTGTGGGGTTCCACTTAAAATCAATGTGTGGTAAGTATCTAACATCACTTTTTTTCATGGAGCCAATCCATACCACTTGGGTTTGTCATAATTGATTTTTAAACACAAAATGGCAGCAAAAATATCAAGGGTTTCAACAACAGCTTCAAGAGATGATTTACTTTACTAGAATAAAATCGGTGTCATTAGCATATTGTGAAATATTATATTCACTATTAATAACACATACATACCCTTCATGCTGTTATTATTACGCACTATACTAGCCAATATGTCTACACAAAGAAAAAATATGTCGGGGTCTCCTTGTCTACAGCCTCTAGTTTTTTAATTTATTATGATGCAGGATTAATGTTAATAAATTAATAATTATGATGGGGCATACATATATTGCGACTACTCGGTCTAGTTTAATTACAACAGTAACACAGAATGTATACCTTTCATGAATATTATTGTATAGTATACTAGTATTGTGATGTATCGAAAACATTTGACAGAGTTTGGCATAAAGGTTTACTTCATAAACTAAAAAAGGCAAAAGGTTTTTGTAAATGGCAGCTTTTCATTTTGAAACTTACTAAAGCCAGTGTCCGTCAGGGCTCGGTCTTAGGTCCCTTCTCGTTTTAAGTTTACATCAATTATCTCGCTGATAATCCAGAAATTCTACTCGCCTTTTCGCAGACGATACTTCCATTAGTACATCATCTTTTCACACAGAACACAAATTAAACAGTGATCTAGAGCTTCTCAATAATTGGGCCAATAGTTGGCTAGTCAAGTTTAACACGCACAAAACAACATTCATATTATTCACTCATTGTAAAAATCGCTTTGCAGATATTAATAACAATGCCGCTCTTAGAGCTTCTATCTCTCGGAAACATCTGGGCGTAGATATGAGTTACGAAATAAGAACAGTATGAATATACCGCATGCACGGACAGCTACATACCAGCATTCATTTATACCATCTTCAATCGAACTGTGGAATGTGTTACCCCTCTGAATACAGAGTGAGTAAGTCAAAATTTAACGTCGCATCGGGGTTATTTCAGCGAAGTACAGCATCATTGTCAAATTTTAAACAGATGACTAGAACAACTATTGGAGCTCCACGTCCGTACTTCTTAGCCGCCAACTGAAGAGCTAGCATTTGACATACACGTCTAACAGCATTAAGAAAAACTGTACACTGTCCGCGTAACTCATTATCATAAGATATAATGTCGCTTTGCGACCACTTACTATTAATTGCGACAATAGTGTATAAACTGCATGCCTATATATGAATAAAGGGTCCCTATGTCTGCCTCTGTCTAAGCATAATAAATACAGGTATGTGGATGTCTGTAAATGTCTGTCTGTCTGTATAATTATATTGTATGTAAATAAATATATACAGAGTGAGTGAGTAATTTTATAAGTAGGCATGCACGTGTATTTGTCCTTATATATTTATGTATTTTTGTTTATATGTGTATATACCAGTATAATGTGTGAGACATTTCATCTATTTTAATGTTCTTCTTCCAAACACTATGTTAAAAAACCTTAACGTGTTTCGTGTAAATATATTTCTCTTTGTTTCTTTGAAATGTTAGGGAATGGGACACATAAGTCAGATAACTTATGCCCAATCCCGTTGACCATTTATGTCAATAAGATATGTGTTTAATACAATGTACTATACTTTCGTTCTCTGAGACAAGATTGTCTATGATTGTCTATGAATGAAATAATTCCGTCTCAGAACCTTGAACAGTAAAACCCGGATATTCGGGGAACCCCAACATCCGGGCGAGTACTGTCGGGAACATGAACATCTAATAAAATGGACATTGCCTAATAACTATGGTGTCTGTTGTTATATCTGTAATTGAAACGCAGTAGTTTTAAACAAGCTAGTGTATAATATTATGACAGGCCAACAGATGTCCGCTCTTGTAATGCGATTAGTTGCAGGTAAGCGCAATCACGTGCTGTTATGTAACATGCGACAGTCGGAATAAACAGCCGGTCAAGTGGCAGGCTCGTCTCCCTGCTCCCGCGTTTGTCGTTCCTCCCTGAGAACCCAACATTTTGGCGACGAGGATGGGATCCAAGGTAGCTATGAAGTATATGTAAAGGAATTTTGGTACGTTTATCTGGCTGTTTGACGATACATTGACGAGGTGTGTTCGTTGCGACGAGTGTGTTAGCCAAGAGCACGTGGTCTGCTGACCTTTGTTTCACCCGTCAGTGTGAAGTAGGAGAAGCGGTATAGATGAACATTGACTTTTGTTTCGCTCTTCTTGAGGCATTATAACCGTCACTATCTTCAGCTCAGAGATTATGGCTACCACGGGTTTTGTTTGTGGATTGTTTGAATTTAATCCAAAGAAGTCGACATGGGAGGAATGGTGTGAGATACTGACACATGTTTTCGTGGCAAACGGAATTACAGACGAAGACAAACAGAAAAGCATACTGTTAGCGTCATGTGGAACTGAAACTTACCAGTTGATAAGAGCATTGGTTCAGCCCGTGAAACCTAGCGAGAAAACGTTTGACCAGCTGGTGGTTTTATTGAAAGAACATTTCACGCCAAAACCATCGGAAATTGTACAGAGATTTAAATTTCATTCACGGAATAGGAAGGCTGGTGAAAGTGTAGCTGCTTATGTCGCCGAATTGAGAAAGTTGACTGACGGGTGTGATTTTGGAACGTCTTTACAGGCCATGTTGAGAGACAGGTTAGTGTGTGGTATTTGTGATGACAATATTCAGAAAAAGTTGTTGTCAGAGACTGCTCTAACATTTAGTAGTGCATTGAAAATTGCTAACGCAATTGAGGCGGCAGACAAGAATCTACAGGATCTTCACGGTGATAAAACTGTGGGACATTCAGTACACAAGTTTCGCAGTAAACCATCAGCACAATCTACAAAAGACCAGAGGCCTCATGTTGGATCTGGAAATAACAAACCTTGTTTT